TTAAAATGTAGGATATTTGCTGGTGCTGCTTTTAAAAATCTGAACTCATTCTAGGCAATTTATGTCATAATTCTAAATCCTACAATTACAATTCATTAAATAATGCTAGATGTCACAGAACAGAAACAGATATTTTACCTGATTTGTGTTCACTACTTTGTACATTATAAAAATAGCTAATATTTTATGGACTACTCACTCATATCCACACCTCCCTCAGTGCGCTATGGAGATTAGCTATTCTAATCCTCACGACAGCCCTGTGAGTAGATAGGCATTATCATCCCCATTTGACAGATGAGGAAGTGGGATCTTAGAGGGTTAGATTTAAGTTTCCAGGCCATGAAGTTAGTAAGAGGCAGAGCTCAGAAAGGGTTTAAACCCAGGAAATTTGACCCCAGAACCCTTGGACTCTGTTGTCTTCTCAAGTATTGGCACACACAGGTGATGAAATCCCAAACCAAACAAATATATTGGTGCTGTCACTCCCAGGGAGGAAGAAGCAGGTACTACGTTTCTCTTCTACACCCAGAGGTGGGTTGACATGTCCTTATTACCCCCTCTCTAGGGATAAGTAGGTGAGACGGAACCTCCGGCCAGACAGGAGTGGAATGTTACTGGTGGCCAAATGGCCTGTTAACTGCAATGAGCAGGCTCTGAATGTGACCAGCAGTTGTCCATGGAGACAGTCATGCAATGTCAGCAAATAAGGGGACATGGCACTTGTCATTCACCCCCAATGGTTTTGTCATTCCTGGGAAACAAGCTTACAGAGCTTTATGGGACCACTGACATTTTAAGGGATTTATGATCACATGTTACACATGCAAGGTAGTGATTCTTTGTACAAGTTACACTGAAAGGTCCCCCTTAGCCACCAAATCCCAGATCATTTTTTATCATTCAGAAGAACAAGCCTCAAAACTTGGTTAACTTACTAGTAAGAAGGATACATTCAATGTGCATAAATTTATCTGACATTAAAAGTGAAAAGGGAAATAATTTTTAACCTGTTAGAAATATCCTATTTATCATTCTTTCATCCACCATTTCGGAGCATTGGGAATACTTGTGATTCAGACAGTGCACATTTTCCAGCTCAAAATAGCCTAATAATAATGCTCTTTTTTAAAACATCAAATTTAAGAATCTCCTTTCCTTTTTTCAGTTTCTGAGAATTAGCTATGACTATTAAAAAATGCTGAAAAAATTTTCAGACAGAAATAAGCATGTTCCCCCAAGTTGTTGTATCCCCTGTACTCTCCACAGAACAGATTTTACTGGTGGGCTTGCCTTTGTGATGTTCTTCTTATAAGATGACCATTTTGACCATATTAGCAGCCTTACGGTAGCTCATCCCAGTCAGTCACTGTGATAGCTGTGTGCCAGGAAATTCTACCAGCCATAGCTGCCTCCCAAAGTTTTCAGCTAAGTGTACTCAGAAACTTAAAAGCAAAGTACTTTCTCCCCTCGTGTCTTATCTATATCTATGTATAATAATAATCGATAACATTTATTGAGCTCTTACCATGTGCTAGACACTGTACTAAGCACTTTACATTGATTATCCTTAATTAACCCACCCAGCGATCCTATGAAGTTGCTATTATTATCATCAGTTTGTAAGGAAACTGAGCAATAGAGAGTTTAAATGATTTCCTCACGATCATGAAGCTAAGAAACAGTTACAACTATCTTTGATCCTGAGCAGGCCAGCCAGACTGTTGCTGACTATTATATTTAATCCCTTCCAAAATACATCCAGTTGTGTGTGAAGTTTCTTCCCCGCTTCCATTCCCTATGATAATAAAACATAGCAAGTCTGGGGAAAACAGTCAAGAATACAATGAAGACAAGGTTTACAGGGTGCTGTGCATTCCAGAAGGTGCAGGCGTGAATTGGTTACTTAGCACTTGGGCTTTATCGTGCATAGACACTGCTGCTTCTAAATTACCAACTTAGAGTTTGCCCTTTGTGTGGTAGGCAGGTTTGCACAATCAAGTGACAAGTTCTGGAAAAGTCCCCATGGAATGTGATTAGATGTATTTGATATTGATCAATCACATATTTATCATATGGACAGCACCATCATTCCCTATGAGTATTTCTAAAAAATTCTTCGTTTCTTTCCAGAACTTCATTCCTAGTTAATCCTTTACGGCTTTTCTTGCTTTTACTTGGTTTCTTGTTTTACACAGTGCAGTGAAGGAGACAACCTGTTGGTCAGAGTACTAAATGACCCCCTTTGGGGCCGGATTTTCCATTTTTGACCTCAGATACACCCTGAATATGACAAAGCAGTGAATATTATTCCATAACTTAGAAAAAAATATTTCTGTGACCTAACACCCAAAGCTCCCGAACGTGCAGAGCCTCACGACGTTCAGGGGCACAGGGAAGGCATTGGTTCCTCGGGGGAGGGAGTAGGGCCCGAGCCTAACGTGTGCTGAAGCGTGCTCGCCGAGTCCCGAGAGGTCCGCCTCTAATGCTTCCCCAGGAGTGGCCCCCTATGGTACATTGGAAATGGAATTAAAAATAAACGTTTGACTGAAGTAGAAGGCTGTAAAACCCTAGTAGCTGAGCATGAGCTCAGCTCTTATTTTTCCTAAGTGTCACCTCTCAGCACTTTCAGGACTCTGCTGGGTGCTGATTGGATGAACAACACTGGTATCAGGGCTAAATGGAGGACAGGAAAAAAAAATATATGACAAAACTCAATATATACATTTTAAAGGGGCATGTAGAAGGGGGGGCTCCACCAAGGAGCGATTCCAACACTTAGTTTCTCCTTGTTCTTTCCCAGCTACCTCTGAAAACCCCTTTTTTTCCTAGTAAGTAACACCCCCTGCTGAATGGACTACTTTTATTTAACACTTTAGATATTTTAAGGAAAAATAGTTTAAGTAACTATTTAAGAATTAAATATAAAAAGAAAAATCGTTAGTGCCATCTGCTGGACATTTACAATAAATAAAAAGTACCGTCAACCAACAGGGTTTTAGATATGAACTGAAAAATAACTTCTCAACTGTAATAATTTATTTAAATTACTTAATATCTGAAGTAAATTTGTGAATTGCTGAGATGTTTAGAATGTATATAGTGTTATATCTATAACATCGTATATATAATATGTATTATTATAGCTTTTTTATTTTAGGGTAAAATTTTAGGTTCACAGCAAAATTGAAAGGCAGGTACAGAGACTCCCCATGTCCCGCCGGCCCCGCACACGCAGTGCCTTCCCCCCCGCCAGAGAAGTTCACTTATACCAGCTGATGAACCAGCACTGACACATCACAGTCGCTCTACGTCCCCACTCTTGGTGTTGTACGTTCTGTGGGTTTGCACGAATGCACAATGGCTGCATCCACCATGACAGTATCATACGAGTAGGCTCACTGCCCTAAAGTCGTTTCTGCCTCTTCATCCCTTCTACCCCGCAGCCCCTATTATGATCACTTTAAAAACCTACAAATACTAATATGTACATATCTATGACTCATACAGTTAATAAGTTTTAAACAATGGTGGGTATCAGGTTAAATTATATAACATATTTACAATTTTTTCATATTATTTTCATATAGGCAGTTGCCCAAATTTTGCATTTATTATTAAAATTTAATTACGTGTTGAAGATTAGTTTTATCACTAATGAAACTAATGAAAGATGTATGATGTGAGATGAAAGATGTATGAAAAAAATGCTTTCATTTTCAAATTGAACCTTAATGTAGGATCTCCTCTATACTAAAGTCCTCAGGTAAACTGCGCCAGGATCACCTGGGCTGATGACTAAAAAGGCAGGTTCCTGGAACTTACCCCACACCTACTGGAGGTTAGTCCAAGAATGTGCGTTTTAACAAGTCCTTTAGATAATTTTGATACATAGCAAGTCTGAGAACCACAAGGACCTCACAAAGCAGTCGCTTCCCATTCATTTAAGATAACCAAATGAGAATTCTGAGCATAGGAGGGTGTGATGGAAGGTTGGAAATAGAGGACCTAAAACTAGTTATACAACCTTATGTAAGTAACTTGAACTATGGGCCTAAGTTACCTCCTTAATAAAAAGGGAAAATTGTACCCAGTGATCTTCAAAGTCCCCCTGTGTCTCTCTTTTCCTAAATATTTCCACTTAAAACTGGTTTTTGCGATCTTTCGTTAATGTTTTCTCACTGAGAATGGAGTTGAAATAATTCCAAAATGATGAACCCAAAGTCCTAGCAAAGAGTTGGGGGGCTTTGGTTTGAGCTGTACAGTTAGATTTCTTAAATTTTAGGAATAATTCACAAGAACTGAACAAGAAAACAAAAGTGAAATGTAGAATAATTTGAACTTCTTTCAAAAGAAAAGTCAACATGGTATAATAGAGAAATAGCATATTGTTACAGATTGGTTGTTAAGTGAACAATTAACCTAAATAAATTTAGATTAACAGATTATTGCTACATTAAAGTTTTATAATGCTTGATAAAGGTTCAAGTTGCAAACGGAAGTTCAAGACTGAGAGGAAAATACACTGCTATAGATGTGATGTCATCTGATTTATATAAATCTGCAATTGCAATCAGTTCCTTTTGAAGAATGCTATATATATGCCAAACACCTGTGAACAACTTGTATTTAAAATAAGAATATATATATAATTGAATCTGAAAACTTCAAAAATACATTAGTACATTTTAACCAAGACTGTTTCTCCTCTAAACAATAAAAAACATTTAATTTAGTCAACAATAGTAGCAAATTATAAACCTTCCTTAATTTTGTGAATAGAGTCTAGAAAGTTACATTTTGTTAAAATAAATCAAGTCTTATTTCCATGATCAAATTACATTAAGCTTTGAAGAGCTCTTTAGTGTAGGGTGATGATCCCCATAATCAAAAGAAAAGCACCGTTTTCTGAAAAATGGTCTTAAAGCCTTAAAGAAATAAAATTAGTGAAACCCAGTATCTTCTTACATTGTTTTATGTTGTTTTCTTTGTACCCCCAGGGACTCAAGCAGCGCCTGCTGTACAGTTGGAGCTCAGTAAGTGTGTGTTGATTGATGTTTGTAAGTTTACTGTGTTTGATAACTAGTGAGACAGTTTAATGCAGTGGCAGCTATGAGAGATAGGAGAAGGGTTTGTGAGAGATGCTCATAGGTAAGTAAATGAGAAATTAGGGGACCACCGTAGACCACAGGGTGAGGAACTGGTCTGTCTTATTAGAGCTGACAGTTTAGCAGTGAATGGACATAATTGGTTTAGTTTATTAGGAAGATCATTCAGTCAGCATGAAAGGTGAACTAGAAAGAGGGAACTCACTGGCCAGAAGTGTCATTAAAAAATTGACGAAATAGCCCCAATTAAGAATAATGAGAGTGTTCATCATAGGTGGTAGGTTTGTGCTCTGCATCCAATCCCTGTGGACCGTGTATGTGACTTGCGTCTGAGTCTGAGTTTTACCTTATCTCGCTGTCCTTGCCCCCTTACCACCAGATGAAATGGACCAGACAGACACAAGCATGTATCTGTATGTGTAGTTTACTTATGAAAGAAGCCTCCTGATGGAGGCAAGGGTTTCCCAGAGCGTGCCCTGTGTGTGTGCCAAGTGTACAAAGAAAAGCAGAGAGGGAGGGAGGGAGGATGGGAAATCTTACACTTGGATACTGCTTACTTTAGGTTCAGTGGAAATAATTAAAGAAATTTGACATAAATCAGAGGATTGTAGCTAGCATAGAAGATTGGCTCTAATAACATACCTTTCAGAATCCATCAGAGAATATTGTAAAGAAGACAGAAATCTAGAAACTAAATTTCACGGGCTATCTTGCAGCTAGAATCCGCGATGGGATCTCAGTTCCACCAGTCAGATATACTTGCGTGAGACCTGACTTGAACCTGAGCTGATCGGAGGGCTGCAGCAGCAAAGCCACATATCTGTTTTCTGGTCCCTCTAAGCAGGCTCCATGTGGCTCTAGTGGGGTCTTCCAGAACAGGGCACCTTGGCAGCGGTAGTGTGATTCTAGAATCAACCATCTGGATGGTGGCTTTCTGATTCTGCAGCTTCCTGATTGAGAAGCTCTGAGTAGCTGACTTTGTGCTTTTGTTTTAGGGTTCATTCCTGGAGATCAGGCCAGCAACACACTTCTCTCCCTCTTCCAACAATTTTGTAGCACCAAATTCCGTTACTTAATCTTTTTGCTTGAAAGACTGTAATGGTTGTCATTTTCAACTCAACTCCAATACAAGGGAGCATTATTTCCAAGAATGATTTAAAAAAAGATTAGGCACCACAGAAATGCAGTGGAATTTTATTGCTCCTCTCTTCCAGAGTAGAATCAAACAGTTTCACTAAAAAGGGGACAGTTGCATTGGGGTCAAGAAGCCAGTGTTTAATGGCACATATGTTTTCACTTCTTAGTCATATATGTATGATTGTTGAGCTGTAATTCACTAGAACATATAAACTGGAGGCTTATTTGTTGATATGCAAAGACTCTGAAAGGTAACAGTTTCAACTACATTTCTAAGAAGTTTGGGAGCATTGGCAGTTATTTTATTATTATCTCAGTATGCTTCCTATTTCTTTGTTTCTGGCCCTTCTGTTAACACAACCATGGTATCACATTTTTATTATGTCAGGGAATAGTCTAAATTCCATATCATCTAGGCAAAATGTTTTTGACCAGCAAAGCCAAAGAAATTCTGATCATTTCTCCCAGAATTATTACTCTCTGTGGAGCCTTACTTTCATTCTTTGTCACTTGGTATATGTTGCCATAAACCACTGATTTATGTTTATGTGTAACTTCCTAAGCAGACTGTACATTCTTGGAGTCAAGAACTGTGCTTTAGAGTTGAGGTTAGTGTGGATTTTTTGACAGTAGAATGTGTGATGTCAAAATTTTTCAAAACAAGCCTCAAACCTACCAGGCTAGCCAAATGTATAATATCAGTCATTATCAGAGCTCCCTCCTGGGCATTCCCCAGGTCTTTTGGAGGCACTTAACCAATCGGCATTCCCAGAAGAACTCCCCTAGCTTTATTCTCCATGTCACTAACTTCCCAGACCCCAGATGGTGTGCATTTCTAGGTGTTCGGTGCCAAGGCTGGAAAGGGCAACAGGCATGCTCACTGTTCTCAGGACCCATGCTTCCTGCCGCTGTGTCTGCCGCCCAAAGCAGTGTTCCATTTCAGGGCACCATGTGCACCTGCCCTGGTCTCTGCCCTTCCTTTCGTCTTTGTGGAAGCCTTCGTCTGCCTTCAGGACCTGCCACAGAGGCTTTAAAAACTTCAAAGCATTAGCTCCCATCCCTTCTTACTTTTAGAAAATCTAGCCTAGACTTCAAAAAAGGTAGCTAAAAGAAAGATCTAATTTCTGACCACTCTGGGGCTGGAGGCAGGAAAATGCAAATTAGAAATAAGTGATGTGCCAATTACAAAGATTTCTCTGTGTTTCGCCATTACTGTGGCTATGAAGAAAGAAGCTATGAAAGGAAGCCTTCTGGGCTGAGAAGTGGCACCAGCATCTTGCTTAATGTGTCTTATTTATACCAAGTGACTGGTACATCTAGGTTGGTAAGAATGTCATAATTTCCTGCTTAAATTATTTATTTTGCATTTATAGGATATTTATTTTTTAGACATTTAAAGAATAGTATTTAGTATTGTAGGCATTCATCTTTATTTACTTCAAATATGTGCCCAATCATTAATTACCAAAATAACTTGTTTACACCTGGAATCTTGGAGTTTCTTGAATTGAGTGCATGGATATTAAAATAATGCAATGATTATTATATAGTGAGGAATGGAAAAAATCACATCCAGGGGGACAGACAAGGTCTCTGTGTTAATTTTCTTTTGATACATTGCATATTTTATAACACTCTCCATTTTCTATGTGGATTATTTAAATCTGAGATTTATAATGATGTATTTTGTCAACCTTGCTAATTAAGAACAATATAGTTTAACATTGAAATGTACAAATACATTTCACAAAAAGATTTTACATTTGCAGTCCTGCATTTATGGACACTTAAATACCATATGATAAAGTATTTCATTTTATCATAATTTATCATTTATCAAAGTATTTCCATTTATTATTCATAATAGAACACTGTCATCTATTTGATAGGGATTATAACATTAAAAAAGTCAGATACAAAAAATAAATAAGCTGTTTATGCTTTCACTACCTACTTTCCTGATTCTAAAGGCATGTTTTACCATGAGGTTAACATGTTGACATCAGACATTAGTCTGAGATGTCAGAGTAATGTAAGGGGAATACGAATGGAGAAAAGGGCATTAGGCTGAGTGTCAAGAGACAGTGTAGTGGAGCTTGCAGCAGGTCACAGAGGAAGTAAACAGACTGGGGAAGTGAGAATCATGAATGCTGCTCCTTCCTCCCTGATTTCCGTCCTTCCTTCTGTCCCTTTATAATGTTGTTGGTAAAAAGCAGGAGCGCATTGGGAAGTAAGTTGGAGAGGCCGGTGAGAACTGGCGTTGGGCTTCCTCCTCTGGGGCAGAGTAAGGGAGCCCTGCCTGTGAGCAGAGGAAGAGGCTATGAAGGAAGGAGCTATGAAAGGGGGCCTTGTGGGCCGAGAAGCACCACCAGCAGCGTTTCCCATCCCACTCCCCGTGGGGATGTCCGCAGCGGTAGTGAGCTAGGTCTATTGCCAAAGCCAGGAAGGTATTTTAAATACTCTCCGGCGGAGGGTTTGGAAGGGTGCAGGCCCCCAAGGGTTCTCGTCCAGGAGGCTGAGCCCCGGGGGCCTCCGGAGCTGCCTGGTGAATCACTTGGCGAAGAGCTGCCCCAGGCCACTCAGGTACATCCCTCCCGAGAACACTGTCCCCTGGGGGCTGTTGTCCTTAGCAGCTACTCTGGGGGCTGCATCTTTCTCCCACTGTCAGTGAGGCTGGGAAAGAATCCCCCTCTCAGATGTCCCGGGAAGAAAGTGAGAGCCTAGAGACCGCACCCCCATACCTCATGCAGGGAGGTTCATCTTCCCAGCCCCCTCCCTGAAGAAGGGACGCTGCGGGACCCGCCCACCTGGCACGGCCTGTGACACCCCAGGTCTAAGCTGCGTGAGCGCGGGGGGAGCCGAGCACTGGGTTGGCAAGTCATCCGAATAGGATTTTGAGTTTTCCAGGAGGACATAGTAGTGGAAGTCAATTTGAGAAAAGAGGGTTTGGGAATAAATACTCCAGAGGAGTTGAAAAATGAACAGAAGTGTTCCTGAGCAGCAGTAAAGGGCCTCTAGAAATTCAATGGCATGAGTTCATCAGCATAGCTTTTGCTTTTTCGTAATCAGCTTTTGTTCGGGTACCATCAGTTTGCTCATGATCAAAAATCGACACTTTCTGGAGTCCAGAAACAGTTTCATTTGCAAGCTGAATCCATATTATTTCCATGCTTTATGTGAGTCCCAAGTATGGGAATTTAGAATGATATATTCAGGCCAAAGTTCAAAGAAAAGCTCCAGACAAAAACTAGTTTCCTCAGCAGTCAAGTGGGAATCATAATACTAATGACTTCATAAAGTTAACTGGTTAAACATATGCATTTCTTCTTAAAATTAATTAGATGGGAAATGGTCAGTTCTTTTCTAGATTTTAATGCTGTCAAATAAATTCTTTTTTTATTTTTCTGTCACTCATTTGTTATAATATTTGATGAGATAGACCTGAATTTTTTTCCTTCTTTATAAAATTATGGAGCATATATATATATATATATATATATATGTATGTATATATTAAGAAAAAGAGGAATATATATATAGCATATATATATGTGTGTATGTGTCTATATACATATATAGACACACACATAAAGAAAAAGAATGACTATACAACATGCACCCATCACTCAGCTTAAGAAATAAAATATTTCCAGTACTTTTTGAGTCCCAGGCTGGATAAATTTTATACCTGCATGAAAAAAAATGTATTCTTCTATTGTTGAGTAAATATCGTACTAGTTTAGTCTACTGGACAGATTTAAACATGTATAAATTTGTTAACTGTGTTTTTCACATCTCCTCCATCATTTCTTTATTATCTGTCTAGTCTGCCAATTACAGAGATGTGTGTAAACATATCCCCCCCATGAAGGTGGATTTCTCTACCCTAGTAGTTTTATCATTTTTTTGCCTTATATGTTATTATATGCAATCAAGTTTAGAATTGTCATGTATAACATGAAATGAATACTTTGTAAATAGTAGGTTCCCATTATTATCTTTAGAAATTCTTTTTGCCTTAAATACTATACCAGTTTTGCTGTTCTTAGGAGTCTTTCCATGGGTATTTTTTCCATCCTTTTATTGCAAACATTCTGTGCCTTTATAGTTTGGGTATAATCTCTTCTAAACCTCATTTAGCTGCATCTAAAACATCTAATGTGATGATCTCTGTCTTTTAATGGTGCTGTAATCCACTGCACTTAACATGCCTTTTGATGAGTTGGATTGTTTCCACCACTGCACATGCCGTAATTCCTTATTGTGCTGCTTTGTATATGTTTGTTTCACTTCTTGCCTTTGACTTTTTTCTCTTTCCATGTTTTTCCTTTCCACTGGTTTGGTAGCATAAATTTGATTTCAGTCTTTTACGTGGCTGCCTAAATAAATTTGTTTTTTGTTGACTTATGCGAAACATTGGAATTCTAGGTTACAGAACCTCGTGCACGTCGCTACGGCAGCTGTCTGCTTCAGAGCGATGCTCCATCTCTGATTGCCGCTCCTATTTTATTTTTGTCCTTTGAGGACCTCGATACTTTCTCCCCAGCTCAAACACAAATTAAAAGTTGTTCCTTTAAATATTTATCCAGCATTTTCAGTGTTTTGTGGCAGGAATATTTTTCAGGATAATTCTCACTAGGAACTTGTTTGTGAATTTAGCTTTTGTTTTTTTCTTAAAATGGACTAGGAAAAAATACTTAGATATATGACTTCTCCATTCAAATGGAATTCATTTTACATATTCTAGTAAGTATGTATTGGCTACTCCTAAGTAGTCATAGGTCTTAACTGCTTTGCTGAAATGTGCATTTCTAATACTGTTTACTATGTGGTAGAAGAGAAATGTCATGTACAGAAATAGTAATATATGGTAAAAAAAAAAAAATTACTAAGGGTCTGTGAGTGACCAAATGAAATGCTATGAGATTACAGTTAGAAAACTTTCATCTCAGTGGCTTGTGCCCTGCATGTGTATATTGGACAAAAGGTGCCTTTTGATTGGGCCCTATAGGATGAATAAAAGTCCCTTATGTTTGAATTTGAGAAAACAGTGAAAGACTGATTATCAAACCCTTATGCTTTACTATAAAGCCTGTACTGAATTAGGAGTTAACAGATCTGTGCTCAGGCCACATCTGGCCTATGTCTGTTTTGGTAATAATATTGTTTTATTAGAGCACAGCTATGTTTATTATGCTTATTATTTGCATATTACCTACTCTCCTTTTATGCTACACCGATGGAGTTGAGTAGTTGCAGTAAAGACCATACGGCCCCAAAAGTCTAAAATATTTAGTCTTGCCTTTTACTGAAGATTTTGCCAACACTTATACTAAATCTTGTTCTATATTAAAAATAAATTTATAGGGAAACTTTTTCCTTAGCTTAACTTTCTCCTTCTCATTTAAATATACATAAGTAGATTTCATTTGGTGGTTCTCACAGTAAATATTTACTCATGCATTCCCTCTATCCTTAGAGTTTATTTCTGTTTCTTTGATTGATTAGAGGTATTTCCTTGCTTCTACTCCTTAGTAATTATTTCTTTAATAGAAAGTTTAAGATTTCCAACACTATTTTATAAGGTCACTTTTGAAGTAAATAATAGATATCCACAGTTGTTTTCTACCAACTTGGTTCTAACTTAATGGTGCATAAACTCTAAAAAAGTTAATGTATCAAACAATTCTTCAGTAAATTGATCTGATATTCTTGTATTCATTAAGTAAAATACCGCTGTATCCTCCTATGCCCTGAAATTAGCTGCCTGTCTAACTGGGAAGGGTTTCAGATAGTAATCTATTATGGGCTAATGTGAGTATATTTGCTTTAATTAATAGGAATTAATAGAAAAGGGTCAATTCGCAAAGTAGAAGAGATTTCCGAATTTTAAAAGTAATCATTAAAAATTCTGCTCAAGAGCTGTTGATGTTAAAAGGAAAAGATAATGAAATCCCAGTACCTCAAACAGCTCAGTGCTTGGACTTACTGATTCTGTTTCCAGGGAGCGCCAGTTCCCCATGGTTACCTTAGATGTATAGCATCAAACTGACTGTCTGAATTAACAATAGCGTGTATGTACTCGCATCCTAGGGAGTGCGCACATCCAGACACTAGTTTAGATATGCAGACGAAGCTGATTAACTGTTCCCCACAAGTTTCTCTTTTCATGTAGTAGCCAGTGTCTTGGTTAGGCCTGGAACAAGTCTCTCAGTTCTCATTTACAAAACCCAGGTGCCCTTCCACGGGGAGTCGCTGGATGTCATAGTGTCCTGTACAGAACAGCAAACAGTTTCTATTTGTAGCAATTTAAGGTTGAGAGATTTGGACTGATGGGAAGAGAGGGGACTTGTATCATATTAAATAAGAGCATTCTTATTGGAATTAGCTTACCTAAACAACTTTGGTTGCCCCACCACCAATAGGTATTAAGAGAGGTAGCAACCCTCATACCTCTAACCTGAGACACATCAAGCAAAATTAGCATATTTAAAAATATGAATATTTGCAAGGTGTAGTTTAGAACTTTTAAGAGGGCATGGAAGGATTAGTGAATTTAAATGTAATATATAATGCAATGTTCAGCATCTGGTACAAAATCAGATACTCAATGCCAAATAGATAAATAGTCTCTAGGAAGATATTTGTGGAAGACCAGTTATCGATCATTGTAGTTTACAACAGTATTTTTCCAAGTATGCATCATGCTCAAATAGTGGGTCATAAAATCAATTTACCATGACAAACTTTTTTAAAAGATTGTGATCAGTATTAAACTTAGGGTTGGTTAGTAAATAGAGCACATCATGTCTAGTTAGGTTAAGTATTTTGTGTACCTTTTGCTTCAGTTGTATGCCACACGAGTGTGGTTGTACACTGTTGAGTTCCCAGTCCAAATACTTTGAAAGCCACCTTTCAAAGTCTACAACTGAGGCATGGAGAGTGGACACCTGGATTCCACTGCTGGGAACTAACGGTGATTATTGAGTCTGTTTCTGCATAGTTCTGTGCTAGGAACTGAGACTAAGTGCTCTGAGACTAAGGCCACACGTGCCAGTACATTCCTTACCTTCGCAGGTAGGGTTGGTGGGGGAAAACGGCGTGGTCTGTGTGTGTGCACATAGCTATACCTCTGTTCTGTTCGGGGAGACTGTTTTGGTGTTTGTCTTTCATCATTTACTTAGTTTGCCACCATTTTCTTCTTTGGCCAGGAGATTGCATCAACAATTTGAAAGCTATAAGGAGCAAGTGCGGAAAATAGGGGAAGAAACGCGGCGTTACCAGGGCGAGCACAAAGACGACGCGCCCACCTGCGGAATCTGCCATAAAACCAAGTTCGCTGATGGCTGCGGCCACCTGTGCTCCTACTGCCGCACCAAGTTCTGCGCGCGCTGCGGCGGCCGCGTGTCCCTGCGGTCCAACAACGTGAGTGTGGCGGGGTGAGGGCGGCCCGTCGGGGCGGCAAGCACCTGTGCCCGTGGGCGGCGCGCGCATGCGTGGGCACGGCGGTGCCCCGCCCCTCGGACCCGGTTCCCAAGGCTCTGGTGGGGGCGGGGGGCACAGTGGTTCCCTACGAGGTACGGCAGACCCGGGAACCGCAGGCGCTCGGCTGCACAGGTCCACTTACACACAGATTCTTTTCAATTAAATATATTGGGAATTTTTTTGGCGCTCTGTGACAATTTGGAGAAAGTATTTTCTCTAGCCTACTTTATTGTAAGAATATGATATCTAATATATTATACAGAAAATATGTGTTAATTAACTATTTGTGTTACCGGTACCTTATCAGTAGTTAGGTTTTGGGGGAGCCAAAAGTTACTGGGGGATTTTTGACTGCCGTGGGACAGATGTTGGTGTCCCTCGCCCTGCATTGCTCAAGGGTCAACTGTACTTTCTGTATGTGTGTATCTTAATTAATGATTCCATTCAAAAGTGATAGATGCCCTATGGGAGTAAATTTATTTTCTAAACAATGTAATAAATGTAGATTTAGTATCATGAACTATAAAACCCTGAAAGTTACGGCGAATTCTTGTAAAGAAAAGAAAACAATTTCTGCAACATTTGTTTCAGATTGAATGTAGGTAACATGTCAGGGAAACTAAGTGTGACATTAAATTTAAGCCAAGATAATAATACATAAGCAATGATTAGCCTCTATGAGATAATTTCATAGTTACTATCACCATAAAGAAATATAGAGCTATTATTTGGATATTTAAAGGGTATGTCTAAATACCTTTTTTTTTTAATTTGGGTATTTTTGTACTATTTCTATATGAGATGGAGTTTCACCTGATAAGTTTCTTTATTTGGCTTAAATAAGATCCACTATTCTGTTATGCCAGTATATGCTTTAAATATATGCATTTTTTTGAGGCACTGAGATGCTAATGTAACAGAATTCATTTTTTATAACTACTAGATTAATTCTAATAAATATTTAGTTTAGAACACATTTTTACATTATCCTTTATTGTATCCCTATGTTAGCACAGTTGAATTATTTACAGGATGAGTTTGATATAGGTCTGCAGTGTGATATAGAAGATTGAGATTATCATAGACCTAAAGAATTAACAGTGTTTCTTTAAAGAATTTCTCATATTAACTAATCATGTATAGAATTTAATTAATAAGAGTCATATTAAAAATAATACAAAAGCTTTAAGTACTCTTGATGTTTTCCTGGGAAAATCACAGTTAATCTGAAAATGAACCTCCCAATCAACATTGTGTTCTTTGAGTTGTAAGTAGGCTATTCTAAAATCTCTCCAGTGGAATTAAGACGTTCAGTGAAAAAGATCTCTTATACTTTAAGGTGAGTCTCCTATTATCTTTGTGTGAAGATAAAGTCTCTGAACGACAGCTTCTTTGTCTGTGAGACTGAACAGTAGTGATTACTGTATGTGATAGGAGAATTAAAATAATTGAAATCTAGGTTTTATGATGTGCATTTACTTATTCTTTAGGTTTCATTCAATAAATTTTCCTTTTTTCCTCCTGAAAGTTCTTTGTTTTAGTTAATCCTCAAATGCTACCTTAAAACCTTTCTAGAACAACCTTGGGTTGAGATAGTGTCTGGGACAAAAAAGTAAATTTGTTAATTTTCCCTTCTTTGTTGTTCTTAAATACACTATTTTGAAATGGATTGTCACAGGTAAGACCTGGGATTGATATTCAAATATTTCACAACCCATGTGGCAGGGGTTTTGTCCAATCTGAAAACATTCTGACACTCATCAGTAGTGTTCAGACTACTGGCTGAATGGTAATGCTGGCTGAGGGCCAGTAGCTGTTGAATGCTTTTAACTTCCTAATGTAGGTTTGAGGCAAGCCAATAATAATACAGCTAACTATTGATATATTAAAAATTTTAAATATATTAAAATTTAAAGGAAATTGAGCTGGGAGGTACCTCTGCTTTGGAGTGGACACCCAGTCTTAATACAATCCATGCATCTTTACCCATCCAATTTGGGAAAAATACTGACGAGAACAAAATAAAGCACAATTTGAAATATTTAATCTTGGTTAGAGGACAGAAAAGAATTGTGTAAAGTTGGTTTCGTCTCTGACATAGTAAATGTTGAAATATATATTACAAATTAATATTGCAAGTGGAATAATCTATGGCTAAAATAGTTAACATATTTCATTTATCATTTTCAGTTATTATAAACATTTGCCATTCTTAGATTTTTCCAAATTGTAGCTATAAATATTTTAACAGTAATTTGTTAAAATTATTCATATAATTTTATACATTTCAATAAACTGTCTTCTCAGTAAGAGGCAGACTAAACATGTAATGAATTTTAGCTTTCTTTCTGAACAATGTTTTTAATAGAGGTTTCATAATCCAAAGTTATAAAAATTTTGGAAATTATAGTGGCCAACTTTTGTATCTAACTTATAGCAGAATCAATATATGTGCATTTTCAGTGAAAGTTCGAATAGCGACTATTTTGGGGGAAGAGTAAACATCTACTTTTCAAGATACCTGTGTTTTAACACTTTAATACGTAATTGCTTTCTTAAAGTCTGTTTATTAACACATGCCTTATTTTTGTTTTTCTCTTCTTCTTTTTCCTCTCTCTCCACATCTGCTTCCTCGGATGCTCCCCCAAAGGAGGACAAAGTGGTTAGAATCCATGCTTTCTTTTTTATCATTTGTTTTTATAATGCTGTGAACTTTATGAAGTGAATGTTTCACCTAGTGCTGCTAGTTACAATATTTCACAAAGAAATTATATGCTGGGAAAAGCTCATACCCATGTCACATGGGAAAAAATACAATAAAATGAATATCTAGGAACATACAGTTTATATTAATAGGTAAAGTCTGGATAGTCTGAGTTCATGGAAACACTGATAGTGTAATATAATTTAAATCATTATGAACTCATTTGTCCTCGGCTCTCTGAATTCTGATGATGATTCCATCTGCCTTCAGGAACAATGAACTCCTGTGAGCTCCACCCACCTCTGCATTCAGATGCATAGGCAGGTGATTGGCAACTTCATTGCAGAAAGAATTGTGTGGACACAATAGATCAAATTAAAATCAAGAGCTCAAAATAAAATGATTTTTCTATAGAACACAAGTATAAGAGTTGCCATATTGAACCACATTTTGTGCTTTTTTTCTTCCTCATGCTTAGACCTCACTCCTTAAGGGCGTGAAGGGCCCCTTCGAGCTCTGAGCGGCCAGGAAACCACAGAGGGTGCACTCGGGGAGATGCACGTGGAACGGCAGTCAGCCTGTCCTTTTCATACGTACTATATACTTCCATTTGGTGTAAATTACAATTTCCCCAAAGCTCGGTAATTTCCCAATAAGAGACTGAGGAAATGAGCATTTTGGCCTCAATATGTCAACTTAGCTGCCTTTGTTCAACTGTTTTAAATGTAAATGATATACTGCAGTGCATAAGTAGAAACGTGACATTAAACTGAACGTTATCTGTGTTTTTAGATTTGATGCTAGGATATGTTCATTAGGGTTTTTCTATGGAAAAGATATTAGGTGGAAAATTACATAGGGCAGGTTTTTTTTGTTTTTTTCACTAAATGTGTCTGCCTGTACCATTGGTGTATGTGAGATTATGTTAGGGACTTTTATTTTAACTCAATAATGTACTGTATTAGAAAAAAATATAACAAATATAACATCTTCGGTTTCATGAATATTATTACTGTAGGTGAGCCAACATTTGAAATGTAGATAGTGTTAAATTCCTTTAAAGAATAAAAATTTAAGTAAATAATAATGCTGGTGTAATACAGACTTGGTGGTGAGACTAGCTACTCCTGTAGGGCTGGCCGGACTCATTACCCTTTGGACAGGATTTCCTACAATAGTAGGTTATTTGTGCTCATTATAATTTCTGACTGTGTAATGAAAATGCAGGCGGGCTGTGTGCTTCTCAGACTAAAAATAGAGTGGAAAGACCTGTAGAAACCAATCACTTTCAGTTATTTTCTTCACTCTGATTAGAATGTGTATATCTACCATTTATTTTTAAATAGTTTGTCATGATTTCATTAAAAACCTTTTTTAGCCTATTGAGGTTGTTCAATGAATTGCCTTTTTAGTCCAGGGAAACTGAATTTTGTCTTAGTTGTGTTAAAGAGAATAGCTAAGTATCAAAATACTTGATTGCTGGTTCTTCCCTTTATCATCTGAGTTCTTTTATTTTTAGTAGAGAAATTACAATTTACAGGGGTGTATGTGTGTGTGTGTTTGTGTGTGTGCATGTTTATGTAGAAAGGGAAGAGGAATAAGGGTGAATAAAACTTTTCTAAAAGTAATCTTCATCCTAATCAGCATACTAATGAATTCTACTTAGTCTGTTAAATTGGTGAATAAATGTGGCTTAAATCCTAGTGTAGATGGCTAACATATAAATATATCTTTTATAAAGTCCAGCAAAAAAAAGCTTTAATGATCATTTTTTTGCAGCCTGGCAATATGTTTTTTTAAGCTTCACTCTCAACCTAAATCACCTCTAATAATAACTTGAAAGATTGAATACTTTTGTTTGTAAAGAAAATGACTGTCGTAAAGAAACACTTGGAAATGGACATCTATAATAGCTTTAATAGGAGGCAATTATATAAGTGCATACTCTCATAGATAAAGTAATGATTATTTACTGAAAGCCCTTTTGTATATCTGAATATATAGGGATACTGCTGATTTTCCCACAGCTTGTTGAAATGGCTTTTGACTTTGATTTATTCTCTATTTAGTGACCGAGTATTGAATTTAGGTAACTCCTTTGATAACATTTAACACTTTGTTGTTCGTAAACCAGTTGAACTGCATCCACCAAATTTAATTCCTTAGGGATTTTTCTATAAATTTCCATCAATATTTCTTTTTTTGGTGGGGAGGGGATAGATTTCTGACTATAGAAACTAAAAATGATCTTGCTACATTTCTAGCTAGTATTAATTTTCACAAAAAAGTGTCAGGTTTTACAAGTTAAGAATGTTCTATAATAAATGCCAGCAGTACTCTGGAAAACAGAGCCCTACCATTTTCTCATTTTTTAAATACGAAAGCTACACATACTTACCTTTTAAATGTCATATATAAAAAATACTTTCTTTATATAGAGATAAAAATTAATGAGGTACTATGGTTACAGAGTCATGATTTTTTAAACTGGCTCCTCATGCCATTTTTGTTTTAAAAATCATGCTAAATGATATGTGGATAAAACATGTTTGTAGAAAAAGTTCATAAAGGTAGGGATTGGGTGGGATGGGACAGTGTCTACTGGTTTGGAACTGCTCTTATTAAACAGTGTTCTCTGTGGGATGAGTGAATGAGTAATTCTTAGCAGCATAAAGAAGAAACTGACCCTCACAGACTCTACTCTTAAAGACCACATGGTGATTTTGTTCTTTTCTCTTGCTAGGGTTAGATGGAGCAAGTTAGTAGAATCATAACTATTTTAAAAAATGATTTGCATGATTGCATTAAATATTTATTCTTATTATTAGAAATCTTCTCAGAGTTTTCCATATTTAGTCCGTGGCATGATGAAGCATATGCACATAATTTTCAACCTTCAATCTTTCGAAAAAGACCCACTTTTCGAAAAAGACCCACTTTCATGTTTTCTCTCTCTCTTTTTTTTAATCTGGACTCTTTGATGATGGTTTTCTCTGCAATACAGTTCTCTTAGAGATTCTCCTCAGAAAGATAATAAGAGGACTAAACAGAAAAGTGTATACATAAAGAAATCTTAGGGTCTATCAGGAGGAGAGATTTTCCTTAAGCTATTTAGTTTATTAGATTTCTCAAAGTGTTTCTTCTCATTTTGTCATGCTTATCCTAGAGGGGAGTAAAATATTAAGTCGTAAAAACTTCCATGTTAGATTATTTTAAGAGCTGTAAATTTTTTGTTCAAAATCTTTTTTCTTAGGAATTTGCTGCACTGTTTTTCAAAGGTGAGAAACTTCAATCTCTTGTCTTTGGCATCACTCTTCTGGTAATGTTTGCTGCCATTCAGTAACCATTAGGAAGTTTATAGTCCTGTTTTTCCACCACACCCTGATCATTACTTAATGTACTTATGAAACCTGTTTCAGGAATTGTAATTTCACAAATCAGTGTTAAATACAGATGTACAGTAGGACTAATAGGGCTCCACCAGAGTTTAGAAGAACAGCCTCTTGTAGTGTAAGGAAAGAAGCTATGGTAGGTACAGCTTTCACAAAGCTGAAGACTAAACCAAAAAGCTAAAGACTGAACTCCTTGGTTTTTTATGAACATAAGTTGCCAAGTGTCTTGTTTATATACTTAGGAGTGGCATTGCTGGGTCACATGATAGCTCTATGTTTAACATTGTGGGGAACTGATGAACTATTTTCCCTAGCAGCTGCACAGCAATATTTAAGGGCTACATTTTTTCCATATTCTAGTCAATACTTGTTATTGTCTCATTTTTTTCATTATAGCCATCGTGTTGCATGTTATATGATATGGTACTCTCATTGTGCTTTTTCATCTAGCTGTTTTTCAGCCAAAATTATCAAAGTGGTTTGATATCTCCAAGATGAATTTAGATTGTATGGATTTAGATTTTTATGTAAAAATGCTTCGAAGATAGCAATTTACTAAGAATGGAGTTTTCTTAAAAGGCTACCACATTCAGTATTAGATGTTTGGTTTCTTTCTTCTCTGGAGACTTTTTTATGTCCCTTAAATTAGAATTATGTAATTACTTACAAATCTGTATAAATCAACAGAACAGGAACTCTATTAAATTTTTAGTATCTTGGAATCTAATATCTGTCTATCTAGACTAGCTATCAGGTACACACCAAGTAAGAGATTTTCATTACCAATTAAAAGAACTATTTTTTAAATATGCAGAAACAACTAGTATCTTCAGTTTTACCACTTTTGGCCATAGGTCCAGAATTCACACAGAAATTTAAGCCCAGAATTTAAAGGACTGTTCTTTCAGTGTGCACAAAATATTTTCTTGAGCGATTTGAGCTTTTAGTAGCACACAAACAGACACATGATGACTAAGTGATATCCAGATTTCATATCATCTATCACCCAATTGTTAACATGTCCCTAAGGTCTACCATCCAACAGATTTCATTAGTAGATAGATTCCCTAACATTCCTGCATCTAGTGGAAAATAGATTACCAATCACAAAGAAAGCCTGCTTTGTCTGGTTTTAGTACAGTCACTCCATCTCTTTTATGGTTGCTCTTTACATGGTATATCCCGTTCCATCCATTTAGTTTAATCCTACTCTTATCTTTGAACTTAAAGTGTATCTCATATAGACAGCCTGTTCTTAGGTCTTTTTTGTTGTGATTTTAAAATCCAGCCTGACAATCTCTGCTTTTTTATTAGATTTTAAGCCATTCATATTTAATGTTATTGCTTGTGTAAGGACATTTATGTCTCCTATTTTGCATTTTGTTTTTATATCCTGAGTTTTTGTTCCTCTCTGTTTTACTGGTTTATTCTGTGTTAAATGAGTATTTATTTTCTAGTAATTTTCAATTAAGTGATTTTTTTCACTATATTTTCTGAAGTATTTTTTTAGTGGCTCTAGGGTTTCCAATATATATCTTAATTGATGAGAGTCTATTTCACATTTGCAATAACAGAATTCCAGTTGGCAATATAAATGTTAAGTCTACATAGCTCTATTACCTTGTCCCCCTTTTTGTGCATTTATTTTGTATATTTTATGTCTATGTATATTAAAAACCCAATAATACATTGTTATACTTATTACTATATATTTTTTATGTCTTGTAATGAAGAGGGAATAAATAAGGGCAAATATATATTTACAAGATCTGTCATACAATGTTCTTATGCACTATTTTTGGTTCTCTTCATTTCTTCATGTGAATTCAGTTTACCACCTGGTGTGTGATTCCTTCCTCAAATACAGCATTGCTTCCACCCACTTTGTGCTCTTATTGTCCAATATATTTGACTTCAATGTGACAGGTTTAAGTATACTAGGGTATTAATATTGTTTTATACTATTTGAAAAATAATTTAAGATAGAGAAGAAGAAGAAATAGGGAACTATACTTTTATAATTACCTATATATTACCTTTATTAGAGTTCTTTGTTTTATCATGTGAATTCATATTACTGTGTAGTGTCATTTTTGGCCTTTAGAATTTTATATAGTATTTCTTTAAGGTGAGTCTGACAGCAGTGAGCTCTGTCAGCTGTCTACCTAGGAAAATCTTTATTTTACCTACATTTTTTGAAACATAGTTTTGATGGATGTAAGATTCTTGGTTGACAGGTTTTCTTTTTCCCTTCAGCATTTCAAATACATCATTCCAGTACCTCTGGCCTCCATTGTTTTTGATGAGAAGTCAGTTATTGATCTTAGTAAAGTTGTCTTTACACATGATGAGTCTATTTTCTCTTGCTGTTTACAAGAATTTCTCTTGACTTGCAACATTTACTACAATGTATATGTGTTGGATACGGATCTCTTTGTGTCTGTCTTGGTCGGACTCATTGGGTTTCTTGGATGTGTAGATTAGTGTTTGCAATCGAATCTGGGAAGTTTCCAACCCTAATTGATTTGAATATTTTTCTGTCCCTTTCTTTTTGTCTTTATTCTGTTGGTACACCTAACAGTAGCCCAAATTTCTCTTGAAGCTCTGTACATTTTTCTTCATTCTTATTTCTCTTTTCATCAGACTATATTATCACTAATTGATCTATGTTTAAGTTCATTGATTCTTTCTTCTGCTAGTTCAAATCTAATATTGAGCCCCTTTGGTGAATTTTTCATTTTGGTTTTTGTACTTTTCAACTCTACAACCCCTTAAGTTTTAAAAATTACGTATATCTTTTTACTCCCCTATTTAATGAGACATTGCTTCTTAACTTTCTTTATTCCTCGAGCATGGTTCCTTTAC